TATTTGCATTCTAGTAATTAGATTCGGTTTCTGTCAAAGCTCGAGATGTAAAAGCAAAAGGGTTGCAGCTGCCCTAGTATATCAATTTCCCCTGTTGTTGTTCATCTGTTGTTGTTGTAGTTGTTTTGTTGTTGTTGTTTTTGTTTTTCTTTTATCTTTTTGTTTTTACAAATCGTGAAAGCTATTTCACTCTCAATAGGAATTCATTTTAAATGAAAATTTTGACATAGTTTACATGTATCTCCAATAATAATGTAAAATATGGAAAAAAAGTAAAATATCAGAATATTTCTACTGCGTGACTCAAGCATAAGGGGCTATTTCTGCATTTTTTTGAGTTCTTCTTGGTAATTTACTTGATATGTAAAGTGTCGTATGCATGTGTAAATTACTTCCTTTGTTCACTTCACAATATTTTACTTTTAAATACATTTTCCAAATTGTTATGAAAATAAGCATGGATATTGTGGCAGGCTGCTTTCACGCTTTAACTGCTTCAAAGAAATTATGACATTACATTTTATAATTTCTTTCTCTCAATATTATATGTTACGGGGTCATTCAACACGTAGCTGTAATTTTACTTTTTACTGAAATAGCAAATATAGTCGGAATCACTCAAATTTTAAACAGTATTAGCTGCTTATCAATTTCCGGATTCTTAAGATGTCATATACTCAGAGCATCCTGTAACCAAAACTGGCATTTTAAATAAACGAATATAACAGCAATTAAAAATTAAAGAACAAGTCAAAAATATTTCGAGTTTTATTGTTTTGGGGGATTTTTATTATCAAAGAGCTACATTTGTGTCCCTGATTTTATCTGAGGCAGGGCGGGATTTTAACAACTTCAACAACTTAAGCGTCTTACGCACACATCCACTTCACAGAACAATACACACCCTTTATTAATAAAGTATGAGTCCTTAATTATATACTTTTATTTGGAGTGTCTGTAATATTAAACACTTATATGCACGTGATGTGATTTCTTTCATAAAGTGTTTGTTCCACTTTTTATATATCAGCCGCGACATGTTACAAGAGATAAAGAGAAATACTTAGAAAACATCTTGACACTGGAAATTAAAATAACACAACAGAATAAATGTGACTATTGTTTAACTGTTTTATGTAAGTTAACGCTGAAAGTATTTCCTGCTGCAAAAACAACATATCAAGTGTCATTTGAATAGATAAAATAAGACTTGTTAACTCAAAATTTTCCTTCAAATCACCTTTCTTATGGTAGTTAAGAAACGATTGAGCGAGTGTTTTATCATTGGTTAAATTTAGCCGAACAATTCTTATTTATCACTGCAGTTTTTACTTAAAACCTACCCATATTTTTAAACTGCATAATAGCGTCATCATTGCGATGAAAAGTTTATTATAATATTAAGTATATTTTTACGAAAGCCTAATAGTGTCAAATGAAATAAAAAATAAAAATACAAAGGCGTTATAACGCGAATAAAGGCGTTATTACGCGAATCAAAAGGTGTAATAACGCGAATAAAGGCGTTAAAATGCAAATCAAAAGGCGTAATTACGCAAATCAAAAGGCGTAATAACGCGAAACAAAAGGCGTAGCAACGCAAATGAAGGCGTAGCAACGCGAATAAAGGCGTTATAACGCGAATCAAAAGGCGTAATAACGCGAATCAAAAGGCGTAATAACGCGAATCAAAAGGCGTAATAACGCGAATAAAAGGCGTAATAACGCGAATCAAAAGGCGTAATAACGCGAATAAAGGCGTTATAACGCGAAATGAAAGGCGTTATAACGCAAATCAAAAGGCGTAGTAACGCGAATAAAGGCGTTGTAACGCGAACCAAAAGGCGTACTAACGCCAATTAAAACGAATTATAATGCCAATTTAATACCATATTTATACTAATCAAATGGCCTGGTAACGTAAGAAAGCAAGACCAATATCGATCTGAATTTATTCCTCAAGATATAAACTCGTATAGAATAATATAATATATATTTACAATAACTAGCATTCCATTTGCGCAATAATAATGCAAACTATTTGTCATAAACTAATGAAGACTCTTTAATATTTGCCAATTTAAGGTGTCTGGGTGCCTTATAGGTCTATTGGACTGGACGTAAATACAGTTAATCTGAATTCACATGTATCATATATTGCTTTTACACATGTCACTATAGTAAATGAATTTCTTTTCTTATCTTATCTTATCTTATCTTATCTTATCTTATATGTGCGTCATATGTTCAATTATCTTCGGATATATCCTAATTGATTACCTTATAACATCTAGTATCTTCTAATTATGTGAATGCCATTCCTAATTAAGCAATAGGTAATATGCTATAGGTAACAAGATTTGGGAAAACGTAAGGTATAAGTTAGTCACATTAGGGTGATTATTGATAAGTATGTTTAAATGGGGGATAGTGTTTCAGTTATGTCACAATTATAGGAGACATTCCCTTCTTTGTCTATGTAGAAAAGTATCTATAGTTGGGTGAAAGTTAACCTTTAATCTGACGAAAGCATTTCCTAATAAAAGATTTAAAAAATCAGACTGTGGCCTTAGGACGTATCCGTACAGAATTGAAAATAAAACGTACGTCTTGATCGATTTATTTAGATCAAATTGTTCTTCCTATCTTACATTACTAGGCCACGGTTTGGAATTTATATGGTATTAAATTAGCGTTATAACGCCTTTTGTTTTGCGTTATTATGCCTTTTGGTTCGCGTTATTACGCCTTTTGATTCGCGTTATAACGCCTTTATTCACGTTATTACGCCTTTTGATTCGCGTTATAACGCCTTTATTCGCGTTAGTACGCCTTTTGATTCGCGTTATAACGCCTTTATTCGCGTAATTACGCCTTTTGATTCGCGTTATAACGCTTTTATTCGCGTTAGTACGCCTTTTGTTTCGCGTTATAACGCGAATAAAGGCGTTACTACGCCTTTTGTTTCGTGTTATAACGCCTTAATTCGCGTTATTACGCCTTTTGATTCGCGTTATAACACGAATAAATGCGTTATTACGCCTTTTGTTTCGCGTTATAACGCGAATAAAGGCGTTGCTACGCCTTTTGATTCGCGTTGCTACGCCTTTTTTCGCGTTATTTCGCCTTTTGATTCGCGTTATAACGCCTTTATTCGCCTTATTACGCCTTTTGATTCGCGTTATAACGCGAATAAAGGCGTTACTACGCCTTTTGTTCCGCGTTATAACGCCTTTATTCGCGTTATTACGCCTTTGGATTCGCGTTATAACGCGAAACAATAGGCGTAATTATGCGAATCAAAAGGCGTACTAACGCGAATAAATGCGTTATAACGCGAATCAAAAGGCGTAATAACGCGAACCAAAAGGCGTAATAACGCAAAACAAAAGGCGTTATAACGCTAATTTAATACCATATAAATTCCAAACAGTGGCCTATTAATGTATGGAAGGAAGAACAATGTTGATTTAAATGAATTTATCTAGATGTACATTTTATTATATGCCCGAAAGATTTTCGGGCATATTATGTTATACCCCCTGGCGTCCGTACGTCCGAGCAAACATTTTGGGTTTAGGGGCTATATAACAGTAAAGAGAACAAAAGAGAACAATAGGTTCAATCCGTGATCAAAGGGTTTATGGGCTAGTAGCCCTTAAGAGAACAAAGAAAATAACAAAGAAAATAGCCCCTAAACCCAAAATGTTGGAACGTGCGTCCGTCCGTCTGTATGTCTGTCTGTCCGTCCGTCCGTAAGCAATTTGGTTTCGGGAGCATAACTTAAGTTCCATTTGGCCCACAATATTCAAACTTCATAGGAGGATTGTTATTTGAAGGAGGTAATACTTTATAACCTATAAGTCACCAAGTCATCTTATATTGGCAAATATTAAAGAGTCTTGACAAATAGTTTGCATAATTACTGTGCAAATGGAATGAAAGTTATTGTAAATGTATATTGTATTATTGTATACGAGTTTATATCTTGAGCAATAAATTCAGATCAATATTGGTCTTCCTTTCTCGCGAATTTGATTAGTATAAATATGGTATTAAATTGGCATTATAATGTGTTTTAATTTGCGTTATTACGCCTTTTGGTTCGCGTTACTACGCCTTTATTCGCGTTACTACGCCATTTGATTTGCGTTATTACGCCTTTATTCGCGTTATTACGCCTTTTGATTCGCGTTATTACGCCTTTATTCGCGTTATTACGCCTTTTTATTCGCGTTATAACGCCTTTATTCGCATTACTACGCCTTTTGATTCGCGTTATAACGCGAATAAAGGCGTTACTACGCCTTTTGATTCGCGTTATAACGCCTTTATTTGCGTTATTACGCCTTTTGATTCGCGTTATAACGCCTTTATTCGCGTTGCTACACCTTTATTCGCGTTATTACGCCTTTTGATTCGCGTTGCTACGCCTTTATTCGCGTTCTTACGCCTTTTGATTCGCGTAATAATGCCTTTATTCGCGTTATAACGCCTTTGCATTTTTATTTTTTATTTCATTTGACACAATTAGGCTTTCGTAATATTTTACTTATAGATGAATATGGAAAAATATTGATGAAATAAAATGCGTATTTTCAATTTCCGTATTTTCGCTGCAGTGAAGAATATTTTCCGTATTTTAACTGCTGTAACTTTCCGTATATTCACTGGTGTCTTTACGGACTACTTTCTGCTTAATTCAGCCAATAAACAAAATTTATGGGAAAATCTTTGAAACTGTGGTGTAAAAAAAAGGAGAAAAGGTATATAATAAACAAAAAATTCAAAGTCCTTCTATAAGTACAAGATCTATTTTCATCTTGTGCTATGAAAATAATCATATTTCAATCTTGGCTATTGCCACTCATGAATTATTAATTTTCATGCCACGCGATTAAAAGAAAACTTATATTTATAGAAAAAAAATCCTGAATATCCTCTTTTTATTATTTTGCTTCGAATCGAGAAATATGCTTTAAAGAACAAAATACACAATACAGTTTTATGGAAATTTATTAAATCATACATCCATACAAAGGTCACAAACAAATCGGCAAAGCTCTAACAAAATAAAATATACGCTTCATAGATAAAATATGGTATATTATCTTAACGTTAAACATGAGTAATGTTTGAAACGGCTGGATTAGAGCGGTAGCACATTCGATTATTCAGTTTATACACAATTATAAACAATTTCTCTCATTTTGTTTATCATTTTACAATATCATAAAAAAAGATTTTTCTCACAAAATATGTTGTTCCCACAGAATAAAAAAAGATTTTCCTCACAAAATATGTTGTTCCCACAGAATAAAAAAAGATTTTTCTCACAAAATATGTTGTTCCCACAGAATAAAAAAAGATTTTCCTCACAAAATATGTTGTTCCCACAGAATAAAAAAAGATTTTTCTCACAAAACATGTTGTTCCCACAGATTAATAAAAAATACTTCGACAAATAAGTTGTTCCCACAGATTATTAAAATAAATCGACTATGTCCTCTCCATGCTTCCGTAGTCGTGTCTACAAATGAGGAACATGTTCATGCATTTAATATTGCAAAGTTATTTATTTGCAACATATATAGGTTTGTGAAAAATATTCTCCAAATTTATATATGTATCAAACGTATAAAATTTCAACATATGTAGAGTCTCATTTTCATTTTAAGCAATTTGCTTACGAAAAGGCCAACCACAATACTAATGATAATATACATGATTATAACTTTCCAACCGCACAATTACATTTCTGACAGAAAAACAGTAATAATTGATTAAAAAGCAGATTTTTATTTGAGCCAAGAAAGTTTTAACGATTGTTAATTTTACGAAATTTCATTTCTACTTTCTTTGCTGTCAAGAATGTATACGTCGTGTCTTTTCTCCACCTTATCGCATCACCCGCAATACGAGATGTGTTGTAATTTCCATTCAAATTTGAATAGTAACAAGCATTATACCACCACGCACCATGATAATCAGCAGCACAATTGACAGCAGTTTTATCATTGTCTCTGTCAAAAGTTGAGAACATCATTCCATTATGATAATCCAGGGCATCCCATAATGTTCCACTATATCCACTCACCTCCAGTTTATAGTTGTCTTCTTCTGGATATATCTTAAACTTGCTATACTTGGCATATCTTCTGATTCCATCAAAATCTTCCAACTCTATTCTAAGTTCATGTTCTCCATCTGCTGTCAGTAAACTCAAATGATCATTACCGAGCCAGAACTCGCCGTTTAGATCGCCAAAGCCACTTTTATACTCAGTCCAGTTACGATAGAAATCTACCTCACCATTTAGTCTTCTCTGAAATACTATCCAACCCCCACCATCTGTAGTTTGGTCACAGTAAACCATGAGTCCGTTCCGTAGTTGATATGTACCACTTTGTGAGATCCCGTTATTGAGGAGTTCAATACAAGACATTTGTCTTAATGAGGGCTTAATGTTAGTTGATAATTCTGTCACCAGCGAGTAAACACGTTCCATATTTTCTGCTAAAGCATCAACTCTTTTACTGATTTCATTGTCATCGTTTTTCTTTTTTACCTGCTCAAGTTTTATAGCGATGTCTCGCAACTGTTTACTGTGTGAGGAAGTTTCAATCATTTCATTGAGCAAGGTAATATGTTTCTTAGTGATTTCAGATACTATCAGCTCGTTTGTTTCTTCTATTCTCGATATTGCCTTGTCTGTCTTGTTTAAACTTATTTTACAATAGTTATTCACTTCCTCTTGAACTGCTTTAAGATTATTTCCTAAGATAGGAATTTCTCTACGAACTCTTGCCATTTTGGCCTTCTCCTCGCCAAATGCTTTCCTGATTCGTGTAAAGTCTTCTTTTAGATGTTCAAAAGCTTTAGAGCTTGTTTCGCCTGTTTCTTTTGGCATTTTCCCGTAGCTGCTTTCTCTGCTATCAAGTGATGTATTCAATACTTTGTCTATCTCGTCCAATCTGTAGATAATTTCGGAGTAATCCTCATTTCTGAATTTTGATTCTGAATTAACCCTGTTCTCTAAGTATCGTATTCGTTCCTTCACAATTCTCAAATCATTAGCAGAACAGTAAAATATTCCGACTAGCAGAGTGATAAACACGACTTTCATTTTGGGCACGCAGGTGCTTGTACATAAATCCTACTGTCTCAATTCTAACAACTGTTAGTTCTTTTCGGAAAAATTATTCTGATGTGTTAGCTATAAAAAACATTTACTATTAACTTGTAATTTAGGTACTTGAGGCACTTGAAAGCAGGAACAAATAATATATTATTGGTTTGTGGTTACTTATAAACTATTGATGGAGTGTATGTTTTTGAAAGGAAATCCGTCTTATAATTAAAGAACTCTGGCTTTTAATAATGCTCTTTCTATTAAAAAAATAAAAAAAGTATATTTCCTAAGATTAATTATGATGATAAATGTGTGTAATTATAAAATATTCCGCCTTGATAAATGAAACTTTATACAATGTCTATTCATAATGTAAAAATGTTCTGGAAACATTCCTTATCGCATTTTAGCGAAACGAAACACTTCCTATAAAGTTTTGTATCTTTTTTGTATACGCCCGAGGATTGTGGCATGGCACTTGTCCGTCTGCAAGAACCTAGATGACATTATGGGATTAATGTCCGTGTACATTCCGTATAGACAGTACGTGTGGAAAGAATTGTTTCTGGATGAAAAGAGGCTGCTTATGGGGTTTACAGAATGAACTGTTATTTTTTCTGATCGTATGAAATAAGTATGTACATGGATGTAGATAATCATATATATGTACATGTGTGAACATCTATATCCCTGATTTGTACATGTATGTAAATTTTGAATAACAAATATTAAATAGATACATTAAAATTAAGATAAACGTTTATCAAACTTGTAATTGAAATATTGATAAATATTGATGAAATAAAATGCGTATTTTCATTTTCCGTATTTTCTCTGTAAAGAAAATAATTTTCACTGCATTGAAACATATTTACATTGCTATCTCAATCAATACACAAAGTCAAAGTGAAGTTCACAGAAAAATTCTATTTTACTTCTATAAATACAGGATTATAGGAATTATTTTCATCCTGTGGTATGAAAATTATCGTAGTTCATGCCACTCAATGTCACCTGAATAGACAGATCAAATTTTTGCTATTATATTACAATAATCATAGATGAAACATTCTTATAAAGTGTCCTTTCATGGAGTCTTTGTAATGGATATACAGTACGATTTTTCTTCTGAAGTGTCTTCTTACAGACGTTAGATGAGAGTTTGCTGGAATGACTGTCAGAGGTGAAATATTGTTGATTGTCCTAGCAAACTTGTCTTCTCCGCGTCTATTCGAAGACACGTTTGAAGAAAATAAGCATAATTTTATTTGACTTATCCGATATGTAGTGTAGAGGTCACGGTTAATAAAACATAAATGTAATTGAAAGTAATCCAAATTTTTTTTGGTTAAAAATATAAAACTATAGAAAATATTTACTTGGCCTTTAGGTTGTGTAGGCATTTTGTACTCGTGTGGAATTTCCGCTCACTTATTTCTGTCGGACAAATTTCACTTTCAACCATAACGAACGATATCAAAATGGCTGCTATTAATAGAAAGTCATATTTATGTTAAGACAAACATAAATTATTTATAATTAAACAATACAATAACCTTGTTTTGAAATAATTATAAAAAAATAAACACGTACATGTTTATAAGTGTTTAATACAGATATTTATTCGTTAATAATTACAAAGCACATGCGGATTTCGATGGTTTCTACATAGAAATGACCAAACATTTGGTATTTTGAGTCCATCTCTTATATATAACACATAAGATGAGAGAGAAAAAAATCGCTTTTTCAATGTACAAAAAACCACATCTACATTTCAAATATTTGAATCCTTGACAAATTTCATTCTGCTTTCAATCTTACAGAAAATACAAATCATTCAATCTGGAATAGTTAAATTAACATGATAATATTTGTAACAAACTTAAAATATCTAATTATTGAATTTGTACCATTGTTTACATTATTTCAAGTATAAAGCTTTAACCAGATTTCAAAATATATTTTTGTTCTAATTAAAACAATATTCTTTAAAAAAAACTCAAGAAAAATGGAGGGTTGCTGGAAAACATTACTTGCAAGTTTAGGTTATATTGCCTGTGCTTGGGTTAGGGTTTGGGCCTGATATATCTGTGCAGCAGAACATACTCACTATTTCATTTGAATGCAACATAAGTTCAATTCCTGGAATAAGGCAAAGTTGTCTCGTTAATTTTGTGGGTTTTTTACGTAAATTTCTATACTATATATACAGAAAGAACAAATCGACGGTCCGAAAAACGACTATGCTATACGCGGAAATCTCCTGGACATTTTACTTGGTTTATTGCTTTGGGATTGATAGTACTGTAATGAAAACCCGTCAAATTGTACAAAATGGAATCCGCATTGGAATCAGACAAATGTTTTTTTTCGAGGTTGTCTCGAGAATATTGTGGGTTTTTTTTTACAAAATTTCTACAGTTTTTATACAGAAGAAACAAAGCACCGGTCGCAAAGACGACCATGCCACACGGAAATATCCCGAACATTTTACTTGTGTTAAGGCTTTTGACCTGATTTTATTATAAAGGAGACCCACCAAGCTTTAACAAATTCGAATCCATATTGAAATCAGGGTAATGGTTTTCCCACGGTTGTCTCGATAATATTGTGGGTTTTTTTTTCGAAATTTTCTACATTTTACATACAGAAATAACAAATCTCCTGTCCAAAAAATAAAACCCAAGGTGATAGCCTCAAGGAATACAGTACAGCTCACACCACCCACGGTGATAGGCCTTTTAGAAGGTACTAATAGCAATTAAACTCACGGGATAGCCTCAGGGAATACAGTTCAGCTCACACAACCAAGGGTCATAGGCGTTTCAGAGGGTTCTTATCGCAATATAACCCATGGTGGTATCCTAAGGGAATACAGTAAAGCTCACACAACCCTCGGTCATAGGCCGTACAAGTAAAAAAATTGCTGGGAAATGCAGCAATATGATTGTCACGGCGAAAAAAAAAAAAAACCCATACAAAAAAAAACAAAAAAAAAAACAGTTAAATATATTGATAAGGTATCTCCAAATAGCATTGTTTTGAATTGACATGTTAACTTGTTCAGAAGGTTTTAAAATATCATTATCATGTAACTTGTTACAGGAGCCATGTTTATATGTAGTAGAGCAGAATAATTATCATTCTTGTGTACTGCATACCTCTCGAGTGAGATTTATCCACCTATGCAGGTTCATTTTGATATCTCAAAGGCCTTTGTAGTTATGCTCTGGACAAAATTAAGTATGAAAAATAACAAAGGGCAATAACTGAAAAATAATGCACGGTAGGTTAAATGTCTTGTGTGCTGACTCCTCCTCAATGAGATATATCCACCTAATAAGTTTCAAGTTGATACCTCTAATACCTTTTTGAGATTATTATTATTATTATTATTATTATATACCACATTTCTATAGCACTCTTTTCATAAATAATAAATGTTCAAGAGTGCTTTACATAAATCCGATAAAACATAATCATATAAATAAGACATAATGAACAACATTAATTAAGTAAACCTATTAAACAATAATGATAATCTAAAACCATTAAAGGATGGTAAGAAATACAGACACATTTAGTTTAAATTCAAGGCTCAATTAATAATAATTGAGATAAGCTCCGGACAAAAAGTATGAAAAATAACGAATGGCAATAACTAACAAAATATAAAGGGTATTATTCTTGCGCACAACATTCCTCCCCAATAAGATCTATCCACCTATAAAGTTTCATGTTGACATTTCAAAGACTTTTTCAGAGATATGCTCCACTCAGGTGAAAAATTTAGTATGGAAAATAACAAAGGGCAATAACTCAAAAATTATGAAGGGTAGAGTTATCACTCTTTTGTACTGCATACCTCCTGAGTAAGATCTATCCACCTATGAAGTTTCATGTTGAAATCTCAAATGCTTTTGTAGTTATACCCTGGACAAAAATAAAGTATGAAAAATAACAAAGTGCAATAACTGAAAAAACAATGCACGGTATGTTATCATTCTAGTGTGCTGCAATGCTCCCCAATAAGATCTATCCACCTATGAAGTTTCAAGTTGTTACCTCTAACATTTTTTTTAGATAAGCTCCGGACAAAAAGTTTGAAAAATAACAAATGGCAATTACTCAAACATTATAAAGGTTAGAGTTATCATTCTTTCGCACAACATTCATCCTCAAAAAGATCTATCTACCTATGAAGATTACATTGACATCTCAAAGTTTGTTTTTTTAGTTAATTTATGCTCCACTCAGGTGAAAAATTAAGTATGAAAAATAACAAAGAGCAATAACTCAAAATTTAGAAATGGTACAGTTATCACTCTTGCATTGCACACCTCCTGAGTGAGATCTATCCACATGAAGTTTCATGTTGATATCTCAAAGGCTTTTTGAGTTATGCTGTGGACAAAAATTGAGTTTGAAGAATAACAAAGGGCAACAATGAAAAAAATATGCAGCGTAGAGTTATCATTCTTGTGCACTGCACTTTTCCTAAATATGATTTATCCACAAATGAAGTTTCAAGTTGATACCTCCACCTATGAAGTTTCAAATTGATACTTTTTGAGATATGCTCCGGACAAAAATGTAGAGTGACGGACGGAAGGACAGACGGACGGACGGATGGAGACTAATTCTATATCCGTCTTTTCGGCGGGGGGTAATAAACATTTTCTTGCTCATATCTAAAGGAAACTCAGAATTTTGCTCACAATAACGTGACATGAATTCTGAATGAAGTTTGATGTTGTGGTAAAAACTGATTTAAGGACCAAATTAAGTTATTTTACAACCTGGTATGGTGAATGTTAATTCTGAAACGCATATAGAAAAACCAAGTCTCATTTTAGAGAATTGCGCAAGAAAAATGAAATTATTAAACAAGAGGGCCATGATGGCCCTGAGTCGCTCACCAGAAACAACTGCTTTTCAGTGTTGGAAATTATTTTTCAAAAGAACTTGCTGAAAGGCAAGTCCAGCTCTTTCGGCAAGTTCAGCTCAACTTTAACTTGCCCCTCTAGTAATATACTTTCACAACACTGATTGTTTTAGCTTTTTTTCTTCATAATAAACAATAGGGCCACTAAGATGGCCCTAGATGACT